TTTGCGGGTCGACCCGCACCCATGAACACCCCTATTCATAACATCATCAATTTGGTCATTCGAAACACAATCATTTTTCTCATTTCTTAATTGTCATCTATTTATTAGTTTTTGAGTTGCCTATCTCACTTATTTTATATTTTATTAATATGTTTACATTATATAATTTTTATGTTAGGTTTAGATCAAATGAAGGTTATATAATCAATTTTATGTCTTATAGGTTAGTCATTTAATTTAGTTTATGTTATATTTGTTATTCTATGTGTTTTGCAAGTAATGTCTTTTAAAAATTTTGTTGATGACAGTTGAGTAAGAGTGAATAAATCATACACATCAACAGTCAAGAAGTAAGCATAAGACAAAGTGTTTAGAGTTTCAGTTAAAAAACGATAAACAAAGTTAAATCAAGAAAGATCTAAAGTTATGATGTTGTAAAAGATTGTTTGATCTTGCACTTAGCATTTTACTTGTAGTTTGATCAGTTAATTGTAAATTAAGTAAGACTAAGTCTTGCATTACAAAGGCGATAGGCACACATAAATAAAACTATTTCAAATTTCTCGTCTTTTTAATTAAAACTGATTAAAAACAATTTAAACAAGTACTTAATCAACTAAGAACACTACTATAAAATAAGCTTCTCGTAATACCAATAGTACGACGATCATAGTGTTAACTGTAGTAATAGATTAATCCTAGACGCATATTTTTTTTTATTTTATTGACTAGATAACATGTCACAACGGTCAGAAGTAGCAACCGTAGTGAAAATTACACAGAGTTAAATAGTTTGAATCCCATCACCAACAATTAGTCATTTCTCGTGATTAAAAATGTTAGTAACCATGTATATCACCACGGTTTTTTATTTTCAACCGTGATGAAACATGATATTTATTTATATATAAGCGAAATTATCTATCGCTTCATTATATAACAATTGTCTCTCTCAAAACAAAATCCTAACAACTCTTTCACTCATTTCTTAAAACGAAATCCTAACAACTCAGTCACTCGTCTCTCTCATATGGAAACCACAAAACGAAACCATAACAACAAATCTTAGCCAATGAGTATTTATAAATTCGTTTTCTCTATAGTTTTTTTTCAAAAATCTATTTTAATAGCTTGTTTCATGATGTTTGAACTTTCTTCTTTTTTTATCTTGTAGGTATGGATGCTTATTACAATAAAGAGAACGAAGATAAGTTTAACTTGTCAAACTTGTGTCAAAGATTCGGAATAACATCCATTCAAAATACGCATAAGTTTGTTGGTCTAAATTTATCTTCATCCTTATTTCATTGTTGACACTCATTATGGGACTTGATATGTATGGTATGTTTCAAAAGAATTTTATGCCTTGATATGTTTGTTGTATCTTTTTTGTTGGTTATTGTTAGTTGTTGATGAATGTTTTTTATGAATGTTGTTGTTAATATCTGTTTAAAATATGAGTTTATTATTTATTATGTGGTTTGAGTGTTTTTCCAATTCCTTACCTAATATAGAACTTTCCAAACTATATTAGAAAATTATGATATGATAGACAAAATTGTATTAGAAAATAAGTACATGTTCAATTTTTGACAAGTATTCTTAATTGTTAACTGCATGTTGTTCTTTGACTGTTAGAACTTGTTTTAGTGATTGTAGATCTTCAACCATCCCTCTTTCCAGATCTAATTTTTTTTTTGCAAAGTAAATAATATTTTGCAAAAAGAATTAGAGTTTAAGACAGAGATTGTTGAAGAAATTGGATCATTAAGGTAAGTTCTTACTGTCAAAGAACAAAGTACGGTTAAGGAGTTGAAGAAGTTTTGTCAAGCATTAAACGTGTACTTATTCTTCTAATATAAATTGATTTGTCATGTTATAATGTTCTAGTGCAGATTGGAAGGTTATATGTTTAGTGAGCATTGGCCAAATAAGCTTTCCACATAATTTAAAATAAACTCAGAGCTATATACAACAACAATTGTCTAGAACAACTGTTGTTAAATATGTTGCATTTTAATATACCACAATGGTTGTTTAAAGTAACCCTTGTGGTAGGTAGTGCGCTACATGGATACAATCACATTCGCACGCCCGTGGTTGAAATCATCATACATACAATCAAACCTTATGTCACAATGGTTGGACCTGCGTGATGTTATCCCCTTTTCAACCGTTGTGATATAGCTTTTCCGTAGTAGTGGAAGTATTAAAATCAATTAGGTAACCAAAACTCAATTTCCTAACCTATTAGTCCTTTGTTATAATCGATTAAATCAAGAGTAACTCTTTGCAAACAATTATATATGATTACTACATGTTTAAGTGATGCCACACATTAGAGTTTCCTATATTGGCTTAACCTTATAATTTAGGTAGGTGTTCTAATCGAAAATGAAACGCCAAAGCCATTGAATATTTCTTTTTTTAGCAAGATTCTTTTCTTATATAAAGAATAACTTTCCTCACTTCTCAAAAATTTTTTTCTAAGTTATCATCTTTTTTTATCTCTTATTCTCATTCATTTTTAAATATTATACAATGTTCATTATCTAGATATTGAGAGAGCAAAAAGCTTCATCTTACAGTTGTGGTTTTTTCTATTGTGTTGAAATTGTTTATTCAAAAGTGTGGTTCCCTTTCTATATTGTTATAGATTTGACCCAAACTTGTAAAAAAAAATTTTAAGCACTATTATAAAACATATATTTCCTAACATTTTCTTACTACAACCATTAAAGAAACCAATGTAATATCTATTCAATAAGCGCCATTTTTTTATTCACTTTTTTCCACAATCCATATCAACAACCATGGCCACAAAAAGATCATTTTCAAGTCTTGATACATCTTAGTAGTATTGAGATGAATACTCAAGCCATTTTTGTGACCTTCATCAAGAATACTCTGCTTAAGCTCTGGCATATCAGGAACATAAATTCTATCTCTAAATCTGATCACACCACTCCCACGATTCTGAATTCTCCACCTTGGACTTTATTGATTAAAGTTAACTGATCAATCAATTTTAAGTCCATCTTCTGACCTTCTTTAATCTCTTTTAGAAAACTCTTAGTGAACTTCAACATACCCAGCTTTACACTTTGTGACATGACTTTGCAAACCAAACTCAAATCCCTAAATTCTTTGATCAGCTCTTACTCTTTAGCCATTAGTGTCGACATATGCAACGTCTTCCTACTCCATGTATCAGCTACGACATTGGCTCTTGCGGGATGGTAATTCAAACCAAAATCATAGTTCTTTAACAACTCGAGTCATCAACTCTGTTTCATATTCAACTCATTTTCATCAAACAGGTACTTTAGACTCTTATGATCACTGAACATTTCAAATCTATAGCCAAACAAATAATGTCACCAAATTTTAAGTGCAAATACAACCGATGTCATCTCTAAATCATGCGTAGGATAATTCTTCTCATGAACTTTAGATTTCCTTAATGCATAAGCCACAACTTGACAATTCTGCATTAACACACCTCCAAGTCCCATCAAAGAAGCATCACAATATACAACAAAAGACTTAGTCAAACTTGACAAAATTAGAATATGAGGCAACATCAACTTCTTCTTGAACTCCCTAAAATTTTCTTCCAACACCTTCGCTATGCTTTCTCTTACTCTTTCTCTTGGCCTAACTTCCTTTTTCTCTTTTCTCCCCAAAATTCTATGTACTAATCAACTTCCTTCTTCTAATTCTTTTTTTACACTAAAAACATATTCTCCACATTAGACTATTCCTACTTTACCCTTAATTTTACCTCTAATGCTCATCTTGCCCACAATATCTCTACCACTTCTATTTTCTTTTTTTCTTTTCATTTTATTTAATAATAAAATAAAATAAAAATTTAATTAATAAAATTATTCTATCTTCTCCACTTGCTTTCCACATCATACTAGAAGGTCATTCACCCTCTCTCACACCCACATTTATTCATCCACCCACACACAATAATCAATAAAATACACAAAAAGTATAATTAAATTAAAATAAAATAATTTACTAAAACTAGGGTGTTACACTAATCAAGACATTCTTGTTAGCCCATACCTTGTTTGAGTCGAATCATGACTTGTTCTCGACTCGAATCAAAGCATTGCATGCGTCGTATCACATCTTTATCTTAAATTGAATCATGACTTAAATGCGTTTTTCATAAGTGTAGATCTTGTTCCAAATTACTTTGACACATGAATCAAATCACGCAAGTGTCCATGATTTAAATCAAGATTTTTTATTTAATATTTTGTATAGAGTTCAATTCATAGATTATATAAAAGTCAAAGATCTAGAAAGAAAAAATTAATTTTTTAAAATTAATTTTAGATTAAAAGCTTTCTCTGTTATGATTTAAGTCCACAAAAATGAGTAGTTTAATGTTATTTGTTATTTTTAATTTCCTCAAGAGGATCTGGCTGTATCTCGTGTTGTTAGGTTCATCAAGGATAGTAAGTATTTAAGTTATATTCTATTTTCATTAATGAATAAGCTGAATTTGAAAATGTCATTTACTCCTTTTTAATTTATCTCTAGTCTTTTGGTTAAACCCTACATTCTTGCTAGTAGTAGAACCAACCTTATCATAGAAGTAAAAAATAATACAACAAAACACAAAACATTGTATTACTCAGTAATAAATACTAGCCATTATTTTACTACAAAATCAAAAAGTAAAATAATACTACCTTTAATCATATTTAAAAAAAAAGTGTATCTTTTTATTCATTCAATAATTAAAGTTTTTGGTCTATATTTTATCCAAAAAGATTGTTTATTTAAAGAATTTTAAAAAAAAATTCTTATAAAAAGAATTAGAGGAAGAGAGAGGATAACGCAAATATCAAAATCAAAGTTCGAGAAAGACACAAAATTTATAAGGTTGATGTTTTTCGTTTACATTTTCGATCAGTGACTTTATTAAGTACACATTCCATATTTATTTAGTTATAAATTTATTTCATTTACATACTGTTTTAAGGATAAATCTCGATAAGAGACAGTAATCCAGTCAAAGGAGATATTTTGTAGTCTGTAAAGCCAGCTTCCACAAATAGATTCTTCAATTCTTCCTCATTTCTCTCTTTTCCATTGAGACATGCCATGCCTATATCTATTTGCAGCTTCAATTGTGTAATCTGTTTTTCATCTTTCTTTTTATTAATCACCAATTCTATGACAATCACTTTTCCACTTTTCTCATCACTTGTAATTGCTTCTTTACAGTTTTTCAGTATCTTTATGCAATCCTTATCAGTCCAATCATGTAAAATAAACTGCAAAAAAAAGGCAAATTAAATAAGATACTTATAGTGATTAGGGTTTATGGTGAACTAGAAAAACATACCTTAAGCAAAACTGCATCAGCTCTAGGAATGCATGTGAACATGTCTCCACCAACATATGTCAAATTGTTGTTTCCAGATAAATTCTCTACAACTTCTGGTTGATCAAACACAACACATTTCAACTTAGGAAATGTCTCAGTAATAATCTTTCCCATTGTTCCATTTCCACCACCAACATCCACAATTGATTCCAAACCTTCAAACACCAAATTACAATCTTTCATTGCCAACTTTATCAATTTGGTATCACTAGCCATTGCATCATTAAACAATCGGTTATATTCAGGGTTTTCATTAAGAAACATCCAATAGTCAGATCCTAAAGCTACAGCAAATAGTGTAAGATCTTGTTCATAAATCCATTTATTTAGCTCATGATACGAACCCGAAAGAGTTGGATCAAGAATTAACTCAACCATTGGTGCTAAACAAAGTTCACTTCCTTTAACAAGAAGCTCTGAGACAACGGTAAGAGCATAAGCTTCTTCTTTATTTACTAACTCTTGATTTGTTACTATTTCAAAGAATCCATTGTGTGCAAGGTAACGCATGAGACGTTGTACGTTACCGAATTTGGTTGATGGAACTTGAAGAATTGAAACTAGGTTTGAAAGAGAAATTGGTTGGCCATGATTGTGGATTATGTTTGGTATGTTCATCTCAACACACCATTTAAGAGACATGGAATCTAGGTAGGCGTACATGTATTTGTATAATTGAGCTTGTGCTTTGAAAATTTCACTTGGTTTGCGGCTATTCATTGATGAAGCCATTCTTTTGTGGAAATGAATTTTTGGTTTTGTGTGTATTTGTGATGTTTCAGTATTTGATTTGCTTTATATAAGGTTTCAACTTTCAACGCCCTGTGTAGTTGGGAATTGCAATAATCATATAATAATTAATGTAGTCATAATTTAATAATTACTGATTTCTTATTAAAAGATAATAAAACTAAGACTAAGAAATTGTAGTCATAATTTAATAATTAATGTAGTCATAATGTAATAATTAATGATTTCTTATTAAAAAAATAATAAAAATAAGACTAAGAAATTGTAGTCATAATTTAATAATTAATGTAATTGTAATTATCATTACGTTTTTATGTTAGACTTTAACTCCACCTTGCAAAAACCAACATTTAAAATAAAAATGTCTCTCACTTATAAATACCTAATCGATGGATAACCCTTTGTTTGAAAAAGGTTTTTGGATAAATTAGCAGGGAACACATGCATTTTTTTAGATTGTGTTGTGAATTGGATACTTTGTGACAAAGTATAAACGGTTTCTTAATGATCAAGAAACACACAAGAGTTATGGTTAATAAAGAAGAAAACAACAAGGATTGGTTATAACACTCCTATTCTTTCCTATCTCTTAGAACAAGATTACAGGTATACAAGATTAACAAAATAACATTTCTCTCTTGAAATTAGGATTTTATCTTCCTATTTTTTCTTATGTCAAGATTGAGAAAATAGCGTCCTATTTATAAGAAAAATATCACACTAACCTAATGAGCTTTTTAACAATTACCCATTACAAGCTAACTTAAACACTTGGGATTACAAGCAAGGCCCAATCCAACATGCTAACAACCCTAGCAGTATTGACTAATGCATGTTAGAATAAATTTCGACTACAACACGCATTACTCGCGGACAGACTTCGACCATACTAGAGTTCGATCCAACACCTCACAAATCTCCACCTTGGATCTAACTCTATAACATCAAGAAATTAGGTTTCTTCATGCAGCTTTATTAACTGCATATAGTGGAAAAACTTGCAACTAGACAACGTCTTGGTGATCATATCAGCAGCATTATGATCTATCGAAACATTCAACACTTGGATTTCTCCACGGTCGATTACTCCTCTGACGAAATGCAGCCTCACATCAATGTGCTTGGTTCGCTCATGATAGGCTGAATTTTTTGACAGGTATATTGCACTTTGACTATCACATTTAACCGTGATAACTTGACCTTGAAGTTTTAGCTCCTTTGCAAAACTTCAAGTCACAATGCTTCCTTCACAACTTCAGTTAGGGCAATATACTCTGTTTCAGTGGTTGATAAGGCAACGACCTTCTGAAGTGTTGTTTTCCAACTGATTGTTGTCTCAAACATAGTGAACACATATCCAGAGTGTTGCGGTGAGAATAGGATGTTAAATTATTAATTAATTTGAATCACAAATCTTGAATTCACAACCGGTCTTTGATTTATCCGAAGAAAAGGTTAAAGAAAGAAAAACTTAATTTTGCATCGTAAACACAATGCGGGAAGATCTAATGTTTGGGGGTTGGTTAAACTTAGGGAAGGTATTAGCATCCTAAGCATCTTTAGTACTTTACAGGAAACTCTTGTTTTATATGTGCTATTTGCTAATCTATCTGTTATAGGTATGCTAAAGGGTTGAAGAGAGACCTAACAAATTAGTCATAAGTATACTCGCCAAGAAGTCGCATCTTGTGCCTACGTATCCTGGGTAGGGGATGAAATTAGAGTATTCATAGTTCCCCTCAAAGAGGAGTGAGGAACTTCTTGACTGTGCTCAACGTTCCATGGGGAAGTAAGTGTTCATAGAGAGACACTTACGTGGAGTGCGGCGACTCCAAATCTAAGTAAAAATTGAGTTGAAAAGGGAAGATCAGTATCCACGGCGAGAACTTACATGGAGTACGACGACTCCCGATCCTAAGGCTAGGATGAGGGTAAAGGATATCCACGGCGGAACGACTACCTGGAGCACGGCGACTCCAATCCTAAGTTGCAAATAGTAATAGGAAATTAGTTTTTAGTGTGCTCGCCAAGACATCGCATCTTGTGCCTACGTATTCTCAACGAGAAATCAGAGCGTTCGTAGTTCCCCTCAAAGAGGAGTGAGGAACTTCTTGACCGTGGTCACGGTTCTAAGGGGAAGTAAGTATTCATAGCAAAGTACTTACGTGGAGTGCTGGCTATTACTGGTTGACAATGGAAGCTTATTGTTCTCGTTATGCCAAAATTTGTCATAAATGTCAAATTTACTCAGATAAAGTTCATGTGCCGCCCACTCCTCTGAATGTTTTGACCTCTCTGTGGCCATTTTCAATGTGGGGTATCGATATGATCGACACTATTGAACCAAAAACATCTAATGGCCATCGTTTCATCTTAGTCGTCATTGATTACTTCGGAAAATGGGTAGAGGTTGCTTTCTATGCCAACGTGACAAGACAAGTGGTTGCTCGTTTTCTCAAGAAAGATATTATCTGTCGATATGGGATTCCAAGTAAATTATCACAGATAATGGGTCAAATTTGAACAACAAAGTTATGAAGGAGTTGTATGAAAGCTTCAAGATAGAACACCATAACTCTTCCCCATATCGCCCAAAAATGAATGGAGCTGTTAAAGCTACAAATAAAAACATTAACAAGATTTTGCAAAAGATGTGGTAACTTATAAGGATTGGCATGAGATGCTATCTTTTTCTTTGCACGGATATCGAACGACTGTCCGCACTTCAATAGGGGCAACCCCCTTTTTCCCTGGTATAGAGAATGGAAGCAGTTCTCCCGGTTGAGGTAGAAATCCCGTCGATGAGAATCTTGATGGAGACTAAGCTTGAAGAGGTTGGATGGATTCAAAACCGTTTTAACGAGTTGAATCTTATTGAAGAGAAGCACCTAGCCACTTTATGTCATGGACAACTATATTAGAAGCGCATCAAAAGGGCATTTGACAAGAAGGTTCGTCTTTGAGAATATAAGGAAGGATATCTCGTGCTCAAAAAGATTTTCCCTATTCACAAAGATCTACGCCGAAAATGGGCTCCAAATTATGATGGTTCATCCGTTATTAAGAAAGTATTTTCTGTTGGAGCCCTAATTCTTGCAACGATGGATGGCAAGAAGTTTCATAAGACAATAAATTCTGATGCAGTTCACTTATATTATGCCTAGAAAAAAGACAGCCGCTAAGTTGAAAACCCGAAAGGGCAACTTAGGAAAAAATGGCATCCCGGTGGACTGAAATTCCGAAAAGGAGGTCCAGGAAAAAATTAGGGATATAAAAAATGTCAGCTCGCTAAGTTGAAAACCCAAAATGGAAACTTAGGCAAAAAAGAGCATCCCGGTGGATTGAAAGCCCGAGGGGGTGATCCAGGCAAAAGTTAGGGATAAATAAAAGGCTAATACAATATCGAACAAATCTGATCAGCGCAAAGGAGAAGGGGTATGAAAGTCAACTTATTTGTTCTCTTCAGAAGCGAAGTTCTAGGGATCTTTTAGTTATAAGGGAAGTAGCATTTATTGAGATTCAATGTAAACCTTTCCTATTGCCATTTTCATTTGTTTGTTTCCTTTAAAATATCCCATGTCCATGTTTTCATGCGCTACCATATTTTTCAATGAAGTTTGCATTTTCTTTTTCTATTCATTGTGTTTTCTTTCTTTTGCAAATGTCATTTATTTTTGATGATATAATTTTGAAACTAAGGTATAACAACATGTTGAGATACATAAATTCTTTGACAATTGAAATAACTAAGAGGGAAGTTGGTCTTTTCCCCAGAGATCACAAAACTACAAGATATTTGTGGAACACTTCAGAAATAATCCCTAAGGAGGACTTGGTCCTGTCATTGTCCAATAAGATTTTGACAAAGTTTTACACGTTTGAAGAAAATTTTTAGAATATCCTTTCATTTTAATCGAGATGCATTTCCGAGTGTTGAGGAAAACAGGGTGGTCATCTTCACTCCATAATCCTTTTCATCTATCTTTGTCCTGCATGCACGTTGACCAGGGTATTACATACCAAGCGCGTCATGTCACCTCTTTTGTTTAAACCTTTTTTCGCTGGCACTTACTCAACAGATATTTGCCGAAGCTTACCTCTTTTGTTGATCTGAGATTTTTCCAGATCATATACCAGATACGCCATGTTTCTTTTTACCTTCTCGTTGTGTTGACAGGTTTTACTGTCAACTTGGTTCTGTGCGAATCCGAAACCATTTCTTTTAAACTCTCTGTGAATCCGGAGTCCTTTTTTTGTTATGTGCGAATTCGGAACTTCATTGTTTATGGTTGTGCGAGAAGGATTAACCCATTTCTCTTTTGTACTCTGTACGAATCTGGAGTCCTTTGTTTGTTCTGTGCGAATCTAGAATTTCTTTGTTTATGGTTGTGCAAGAAGTATTAACCCATCTCTCTTTTGTACTCTGTATGAATCTGGAGTCCTTTGTTTGTTCTGTGTGAATTCGGAATTGTTTTTCATGGTTATGAGAGAAACCATACCTATCATCTGTGTTGTTCTAGGTAGAACCATAACTCATTTAATTATGGCGTTACTCTGTGCGAATCCGGGGTCTTTTCTTTTCATACTCTGTGCGAATTTGGAGTCTTGCCTTTTACTACAGTCATTTATCTTTTTGCTCCGTGCGAATCCAAAGCATACTTTTCATTAAAAGTTATCAATAACCTTTGGCTTGTTCCGTGAGAAACCAAAACTAACCATTTTCCTCAACTATCACCAGTGAGACAGTCTATCCTACTTTTCTCAACATCCAGCAAACTTCATTGGGAGTCATCTCAATGACCCCCACAGGGTCTGTCTCACATTTCACCAATATCTTAGAATCCTGCATACATGTATTTGTATGTATGCACGACATCCGAGCATTTGTCTCTATCATTTTGGTGTTTACTTGTTTCGTTCACTTTGAGCGTTTATTCCCCAAGTAGTCGGGTTTGTTGTCTCTCTCTAAGTAGGGTCGTCAG